CAGAAAGGAGAAAATAAATTTTTCCCACCCTTCCAGAAAGACTGAGAAAAGAGACCCGAACAGTTTCCAAATGCATAAAAATCATGCTGCAAAGAAAAGGAAACTCCTTTTCACAGTTACAGTGGGGAGGACAAGAAGACACAGGCTTGAACTGCCTTAAGGAAACTTGTGTTAGATATTAGGAAAACCCTGAGATGTTAAGGATAGTGATGCGAAATATACCACATACAGAGGTTATGGGCACTTACCACTGGAGGCTTTCAATAAGAGGTTAGAAAAATGTCATTGGTGGAAGAGTTTAGATATAGCTGATGCTGCCTAAGGAGGGAAGAGGGGTCTAGACTAAGGGTTTTTAAATGTCTTTCAGTCACAATTTTCTGTGTACGTTATCCCTACATCTACCCGCTTAATATTTCCTTTCTGTACCTCAGCAGTTAATTTAAGGCTTGTTGGAAGGAACACATATCAAGCCTGAGGCACATGAGAATTTATTTGGGATAAAGTCAGAATAAGTTGGGGAATTGGAAGCAATTCCTTTGTTATGAAAGTGTACACATATGAGTATTGCCCTTGAACCAGGGTAAATAGGTACAATAGTATCAAAGGACTGGAATATTTATCAAAATTTTCCTTTTCTCAAATGGGAAATGCAAAGCACAAAGGTCTGAACCATCTGTAATGACACAGCAAGTTAACAAAATGAGCCTGAAAATTGGATTTCTTGGCTCCTCAAGTGACCTGAGGGACTACACACTCCTCCTACTCTTGCCCTCTCTCCCATCCTTGCCTCCCTTCCCCCCAGCAAGCCGTGCAAGACTACAAGACTGCAGCACTTTCTCATAAAAGTCTTGCCTGCAGCTGGGGCAAGTTAGACACTACAACAGTGTCGGTACCTTCTGCTGTAACAAGAACACACGTCAAAAAGATGATCATTACCACAGGGGAAAAAAAGTAAAAACTAAAGCTGCCTCAGGACTCACACCTTGCAGAGATGTTCTTGGGCTGATAATCCCCATCTCCTTTCTTTAACTTGCCTTTATTCTGGCTAACATTTGATAGGAAGACTCTATTCCTCTACCAAGTGAGTAACTACAAAAATAATTTTAAAAAGACAGAATAAAGGACATACTGGTGATACGGAACATAATTTCTCTTTATAAAAGTGCAGAAGAATTCACAAATGTTTGCAAGCAAAGCATTGTTTCTCCAGCCACTGTGGAAAAGAAGCAGTCTAGCTCAGCATTTTTTTGGCTCTTTCCTAAGGCTGCTGTAACTTTAGCTTGTAGGAAATCAGAATCAGAGCCCAAGATTAGAACCAAAAATCCCTTGTAACAAAGTATTACAAAGGCAGTGCCAGTCCTTCTGCACTACTACTTACAAGCCTCCATAGGCTCGCCTCCATTTCCTTTGCACCAGTGCTTAAAACAAAGAGGACCCACACTTGAATCATCCTTAGGAGATCCTGCCTCTCAAACTGACCATGCCAAGGCACACCAGGTCCCAAATTAATTCTGAATTAATTTCCAAGAATTCTGCCAGGTTCTAAGCCCCATACATAGATTAAACATAATTTGGATTCATCATTACCAGTAAGACTAAAAACTAATTAGAAAACTTAAAGTGTAAGAATAATGAATTAAAAATATGTCAGGAACACAAAAGTCAGAAACATCTCCAAAAAGAATAAAAGGTAATGTTTTAATTGGTAGTTTTCTCAAAAGGAAAAAAAAAATGCTCTTGCACCATTGGAATTAATATTATCAAATTCTTTATATGCTTAGGTATTTGCTAGCTTATTCCAATGGCATATTTAAATTTTGATTTATAAATCAAGTGATACTGCTCACTGCCATAAGATGCATTCCACCGGGTCTCAAAGTCTTTAGCAGATCCCCACTGTGTGTACTCTATCCTGATGGTTTCACATTCATGTTCATCAACACTCAGCAAGAACCATAAACAAAGCCCTTTCTCAGATGCACACATGCAATTCCCATTGACTTTGCTGGATTTTCAGCTGACTTCAATCAGAACTCTGTGCATGTAGAAGGGCAAAACTTGGCTCTGCACATTCAATAAAATTACATCACTAGATACCTTTTCAATGAAGGACAATGGAGGCCATACTGAAAAATAATATAAACTTAAACCCCTAAACTGTAGCCAAATAAATTCAAATTTCAGCCAGATTTTTCCAGAATAATAAAAAGGGTGTGAATTTTAGGCAAGATGAAATGAAACCCTAATACCATTTCATTTACCAGAGTGCACTCTGCCTCTTTTAGCAGGACAAAGTGTGAAACCCAGCTGTTTACCCAAGGTGATCATCTTGTTTCAGGTATAGCAATGACACTGGCATCTGAAACAATCAAGCAAAGGTCAGGTTACAAGCTGTGATTTGCTAAGTCCTTTTCTTCAGCTGTATCCTGGCCCTGTAAGCTACCACACTCATTACAAATGAATTTGAAGTATAGAATATCACAGTAGAAAAAGTAATTCATCATGATACTAATAATGAATATTGTATTATTCCTAATCTACTCTAAGAGTGGTATTTTAAGCATATTAAATGCTTGAGCCTAGCAGTGTCTATCTTAAACCCTTCAACCCTCCTTCCCAACTTGCCAAAAGAACAACATAACAAAAATCCCACAGAACCTAGTAAAAACAGTTCCCATCCAAATTTCAAGTTACATCGTGCAACAAAATTTCTGCCAGGTGCATTAGCTAATGCACACTAAGCAAAGCAATGCCCCATGTGTTTTTTCCAAATTTCTTTCCTCTACTTTTACTCATTCCACGATGTAACAACCTGTATCTTTTTGCTGCATCTTTTAAAATATCTACCTACCAGGATGAAGAATATTCTCCCTTCTAAAAAAACCATCTAACAGGCTTCCTCACACTTTCTGTTTGTCTGATAAGCACTTGTTAGCCTGCAATTACAAATTTATACACAGAAATACTCAGAGATGAAAACCACAGAGGAGACTTGATGTTCATGTTTGGCCGTTGCCCCCTGCCCAAAGAAGAAACATTTCTGATGTTTTTCACACTTAAATAGCAGAACAGATTTTATGAATATTTTTTTCTTTATAGCTGGAACAGCCCCTATTCTTCACTCCATTATAATACTGAGTCACTTTCCATCAAGTTGGTCATTACTGACAAGCCAAGGAAGAAAGGAGGGACGTAGATGAAATGCTCTGAAGCTACATGTGCAACAGAATATATATCAGGTTGCTTCTTGAAGAAAATTATTGAAAAACAGAAAAAAATTGTTACAATACAACACTCATAAGGGAAAACTATTTCATATTTATGGAGAAAGTCCAGTAAATCTAACACCAGTAGTCAAAGGGATTGCAAAGACACTTTTTTTTTGTACGTGAAACAAGAGTCTAGCCTGATATAAGTGCTGAATTGTATTGGTCATTCACACTGGATTATCTACTAAATTAAATAATTAGGATTATTTACTGTACTATGGCATTATCAAATGAGTAGTTATAAGGTCTGGTGGGGCTCTGCTCTCTCCATTCCAACTCCCCTCCCAACATCCCACCTTGACACTGGTGGCCTGTGAAGATACCCATTTGTCTCAGAACTCCTTCAAGTAACTCCAGGTCTACTTGTCTCTGTTGGAGCACGAGCTTAGAGAATTTACAATGTGTTACAAGAAACATTTATTCTAGTTTAAACTGTGTGATTCTGACTAGACAATCAGAAAGGAAAGGTATCCCCATCTCTCCCCTCAGTCCTACTGGGATGAGACTGTTCCAAGGAGGGATTCATTAGTTTGTTTTAAATGCTTAGCATGTCTCTTTGATGGTGAAAATAAAATTTTACATGCTCATTTTTCAAGGAAGTTGGTTTTAAATAGTTAGGAAAGAATATAAAAACCAACAAATGACATAGGTCAAAAACATGGCTTTTCAGCATGCCCTGTTTATGCAATGACACATGAAGAACTTTATGTTCGAACAATTACCTGGTGCTTTAAATAGGACACTAAGGGAATAACGTTTCAAAATGTATTCACACAGCGTAAGACTAATCATCCTCTTGGGAGTACCAGCGCAAATCAGAGTAACTCCTCAGAGGTCAACTGAAGTACACCAGCACAAAGTAAATGTGAGACAGAAGGGAATCGGGCCCCATCTACCTCTATTTTAATGCAGAGGTTGCAGATCATCTGCAATGGTAAAGTGAACAAAATAAATATAACTGACATCTATTCAACTGATCTCACATCCTGCCGTCTATTCACAGCTCCAAATACAGGGCTGAAGAACAATGGTTTGGGGAAGGCAGGCAGAAATCCGGGTTCTAACCCATTCACACATTCCAATTTGCTAATGACTCCTACTTGAACTACCTTCATCTCCCCACACTGCTAAATCATGAAAGGTTTGGTTTGACATTGTCCTCCCGGCTTCTAAAGAACAACTTCTCCTAAAACAAAGCAAATAAAAAAATACCAGGAGAGATGATAAATGCAAAAAATATGTGCAAGCATGAGAACCTATGGAGAAATAATCAAAAGAATCCCTGTCTAACATACCACATGTATTTGAAAGGCACTAGCAAACTGATTAATTATTTGGAAACCTAGCACTAAGAAAGAATGGTACACGTGCAGGGGAAGACTAAAATATGAGGCTATTTCAAACTATGGTGTCATTTGTGCTAATTTAAGTGGATCTGTAATTATTTCCTACAACTTCATGATGTCCTGAACCAGCTTCCTCCTCCCCTGCAAGGCTGATAAAAGGACTCTTGGCAGCACACTAAATATATTATGCAATGTATTGAATACTACCGAGAAAAAGCACTGAATTATACCGAAACAAAGAACATTGGGTGCGAATATCACCACCTCCAGGGAAAGAGCACCTTTAACTACTTATCACATCAGTAAATGCAGGCATTCTCTTGTACGTCTGCTACCTGCACCTAACAGCATTTGCTACATTTAACAAAGTTAAGGCGAATTTTACCTCAAATCTACTTATGCTCGAGCTCTTTGACCGAGACTTCTTGCGGAGATAGACGGAGAAGAAGCGACGCACTGTGAACTTCTTCATGTTCATGTCCATCGCCCTGTCCCAGCTGCGGCGCGGAGCACGAAGGAGCTGCGGCGCCGGCGGAGAAAGCTCAGCGCATCCCGGTTGCCCCCTGGTTATATCCACAGGCAGGAGATGCTCCGGAGTGCCTGGTTTCGCTCATGGAGCCGGCCGCCGGAGGTGCGTGGCGGAGCCGGGCAGCCCGCGGGCAGCTGCCGGCAGCCCGGAGCGTGCGGGCGCTGCGCTGCCTCCGCTCGGCGCTGTTTACATCGCGGCGCGGCGAGCCCAGCTCCGGCCCCGCCGCTCCCCCTGCCTTCGGTCCCGCTACGCCCGATCCGCCTCGGCCGAGCTGCACGCAGAAGCAGCGCCGGCGGATGGCAGCTCCTGCGTCCCAGGCGTAGCAGGTTTCAGACAAATATTGGATGTGTCTATTGCTTTGCGCTCCCTCTCCTCTCAGTCAGGCTCTTTCAATTTCCTGCTTTCTGAATCACATGGGGAATAGGCACATGCTGCACTTCTGTTTTTAGCTCAGAATTCAGACGCTGCTATAATTACTGAGGGCTGTGGTGGTCAGATCCGAGAAGAAATCGGCTCCCCTGTGAGAGTCGCTCCTGGAAGAAAGCTGAAAGATGTCGTGCCCCCGCTGCCAGAATAGAAGGGTTTGAGTCTCTTTATTCCGCGGAGTATGCAAAATAGCACTGTCGTTCCCCACCCCACCCCCCCCAAACTGAAAAGCTCACCATATCCTGTTCACAATCACCCGCCCGCTTTACATTGAAATACCTAACACTGGCACAGCTCTGAAAAGAGAAAGCGCAATCTAAATGGCAAGTATTACTATTCTTATTGTACTACAGCAGCCCTACTAGGAGGTTAAGTATGTACATCTATTTATGGGCTGTAATTTTGAGCTGCACAGAAAGCATGCAGACTTACAGCTGCACCCCCACCTCCCCACAACAAAATCACATTTTTCAGCTGTTCTTCAAAAACTAATGAATCTCAGTGTGTTCCAGAGACCAAAGAGCTTTCTCTGCCTATTGCACACAGTTCAGGCTCCTTTTCCATGGCAGCCTTTCCTTTCTGACTACCGAGGAGCACCTAGACATGCCTTTCTCCCGTAGCCTCGGACATCACTACAGCCTGAGAAGACTTGGAGGTTAAATGACAACACCTCTCAAGTCCATCTGCTCTAAAAGAGAGGTGTATATTGCTTTACTTGTATATCTGGGCTCTGCTGTGAACTACCTTGGCTAGCAATGCCGGTCAATATCTGACTTTTTTCTCAGGTTCTTTTTCCTCTTCTTCTGCCTAAAGCTCACCATGGCCTATATCCACCCAAAGAAGTATTAACAAGAAAAAAGAAAAAAAAAGAGAAAACAATACTTTGGCATTTATGTTTTAATTAAAAAGGAGGCTAGATTGGAAAGGCTGCCATTAGTGCTGGGCTTTGTAATCTCGTAGAGCCTGACTCTGCTATGCCTGGACCCCGGTGCTACTCCAGCCTAAGGTAACTGTTTCACTGTGACAGTCTGCTTCTTCCTTTTTCCTTCTCAGCACACCTTCTGATTGCTTCTCTAATTCTCTTGGTTTGCAACAAAAATACCTTTGGTGGTTGCTTTCACTGTGCTGCCCCAGTGCAAGCTATGTCAAGCCTAGGAGCCTTCTGCCATTACAGTTCACTTGTTTCCCCAACTAAAGATCCTGGAGCAGGGGCAAGTGTCCAAGAAGAAAACCTCAGAAAGAAGAAAACACCTATACACAAGCAAAACAATGAATAGGCTAAAAGGCAATTTAGTTGGTCAATGCCAAAATTACTTGCTGATGCAGTCTCTCTAGTCAAGTTTTGTGTCTCCTCACAACCTTGCTGCAGTAAAATCTGCAGTGTTACAAAGGCCTCAGGCACTCAGCACCTGATCTCCCCCTCACCTGTCCTGACACACCACACAGCTGCTGTTACTTCTGTCCTGCCTTTTCCCTGGCAAAGAGATGTCCTGGCACAAGCTGGACCAGGCTTTGTAGTGGCAATGGCTTTTGGCAGCCTCACACAATCCCACTTGTGTAAGGTACTTGAGCCTCAAAGAGCAACCAGACAAGTCCAGGGAAAGGTCCCTGAACCCTTCCTGTCACAGATACATCTCTGGTCACTGACATTTTATTAATGCAGAGGAGGTGATAATTTCCCAGCTTTGAATACACAGGCTCTGTGTAGTAACATGAAGTTATGAGTGCCTGTCACTATTACACTGGCAGATTTATCCCAACCTTCCCTTCTCATTACATCAGTGGTGATTTCACATACAGGGACGTGCATTCACCATTAAATGTGCTTGCACTGTAATAAACTTCCAATAAAATTACACAGGCCATGACTTAATACCTAACTATCAGGTACACTTACTACATTCAGAATTTCGTTCTTTACCACAAAAATAATTTTTTTTTTTTCAAATCAAACACTATGTATTGGCAATTTATTGTGCACATCAGAGCAGAAAGTAGCTTGTATGCTAATGTTTAGACTATAACACTGACCATCCTGCCCAGGGTTAGGAAGTAACTCTCTTACATCCCTAACATGAAACAGGCATGGAAATAGGCATTTCTCTTCTTGTTTTCATACTCTGCTTTCAGACAGCTGATTAGGGATTAAATACAGTGGGACAACCAACCACCTTTACTCTACCAGGCAGCAGAGATATTGCAGAATATATTCCAACTTTTGCAAAAAAGCAAAAGCATCTGAGATGTAAAATTTACATAAAAATGTGCATAAAAATACAAATGCAGAAATTAAACAAAATACACGTGCATGCAAAATTAAAGCATAGGTATAGATATGTGAAAAGCAAATTCTATTACAGTTCCTTGTGGCATGCCTCAAGACATTGAACTTAACCTTTCTTCAGAAAAACAAATAAGAGAGATCAAGAGCATTAGATGAAACTTTCACATAAGTCAGACAACCACTTTTCACAGTGATTCTAATAAAAAGGTGCAAGCCAAGAAATGCTATTAAATTGGAACATTCAGCATAACATTTATAAACACACTACTCTTAGATCAATCTACGATGTGAAATATTAACTGCACTTAGAAATTAATGTCTTTAAATTATTTATCTCCTCTGAGCAATTTTAACTGCTGAGGAACTAGATGGAGGAAAAAATCTCCAAATGTCTCTGTTTAAGACAGCAATAAACAACAAAAACGGTGGAGGGGACATATGACACATTGGCATCAACCAGTAATACTCATCTGTATTCTGAAATATGCTTTTTAAAACTAGAATAGTATATGCTATAACACAAAATAAATAAATACAATATTATGGCTGCCCCTCCTCCCAGTGAGCTTAATAGCAAAATAAAGTTTACTTCAGCTGGAAAAAGGCTTAAAAAAGCTCCCAAAACAAAAACCTCGTAGCCAGGATTCAAGACAAACTCTCCAAGAGGAATCCCCAAAAAATAGATATTACATAGCCTGGGTTTGAATTTTTAAAAGAAAAATGGAGAATTCTGAATTAATATCTAATGAAAGCCAAAGGTTCTTTCCTCATTTGTACAGATGGACCATACCAAGAGCAGTAAAGAACCGAAGGACCCAGGCTTAAAAAATTAACGGGGGGCAGCAGAACAGCCTGAACAGCACCCAAGTGAGAAGGATGCCAGTAGCCAATGCCAGATGAGTCATCAATTTCTAAATGATAGAACATGCAAGTCCAAGATATCTACCACAAACTGGATGATATAATTACCAAGAGAAATTTTGTATTACACAGAACATCAGGCCCTATGTTGAAATTAGGCCTTCTCTTTTTTTATGTGAATCAACAATTTATGAGCAAACCCAGAATGACTCTGCTACTTGAGTAAATTTAGCCGTCACTGAAAAGTAAAAACTATGAATTGATAGTATCTTCCTTGCAAATGCAATCAGTATTACTAATACCTCAGTAAGTCCGTCAGAAAGCCAGAAAAATATCCAGAAAGAAATAAGAAAGCCTCAGAAGCAGAGACACCACAGACAGAACAAATAAGATTATCAGAACACAACATGCAGAGAAAAGGAAAATGAGACTCCCACAACAGAGGCCCAAGAGACAATGCTACAGAAAAGGTGAATTACGCAGCTTCATTTATGCCCTCATCAAAGAAACTCAGGAGCAAGAGCAGATGTTTCCAAGGGACACCAATCAGCTGAATAAGAAACAACACTTTCCCCCCAGTGGTTAGATTGTATAGGACTCTTTCAGTGACTGCTGTTTCCTCATCTTGAGTGCTGGACAAATTGCCATATGGCTTTTGTTTCCTCAATGAACACATAAAGTGGCTATTTTTTTTTTTTTTGATGTTTCTTTCAATAATATGGGATGGGCTTGGCCCAGAGAAGTGCTTGGGTTTGCTCTCATTACACCAATATACCAATGTGTGTCTCAGCCTTTCTAGCTGCTGTACATAGCTAAGTACTACTTAGCACACACATCACTGGAGTATTCTCTCTCAAAAAGGCACACTGCCCTGCCAGCACTGCAGAAGACAGGCAGTGATTGACCATCTCTCACCAGCACTGATGAGTGATCAGCCATGTTGGCTGGAAGGGGATACAAGCAAAGAGGCAGGAAGGAAAGTGCTTCTTCCCCTTTCTCGCACCTTCTGGCTGTGTATCACAAGCTTCAGAATTGTATTCCTTTTCGGTATATGTATTATTCCAGTGGAGGTGCAGGCTGCTTTAGCCATCTTGCAGATTAAAATCACTGCTCAGAAGGAAGGGGAAAACGAAGTCATATGTCTTGTCTAACTGGGTCTGATGAACTGTCAGGACACAGGCTTCTCTAATCCCAAGAGAAACATAAACAAAACTGTTTAATCTTGCACTTGTAAACTCAAGGCAAAAGCAGAGTGTCTCTTATATCCCCATCTATGTCATTCCCTTGTTGCTAAAAGCATCATCCAACACACTGGCAATTATATGAAGAGTAACTAGTATAAATAGAAGTACATCAACCACAGGAGAGTGACTTTAAAAAGACATGTTTTGCTTGATCTGGTGATATTCCACTTAGTGGATTCCATTCAACACCTTTAAACATTCCTAAAAATGGGCATCAAAATAAGTTCTTGATAGATTTGGAATAGGTATTTTGCAGAGATGCAAGTAGCTTAGATGGAGACAAAAGTCCTGAAAAGTTTTCAGTAGACTACATCAACAGTAAGATTAAAAAAAAAATATTACACAGTGGCACTAAGAGTGTGAACCATCTCTGTGCCATGCTGGAGCAGAACCATCATAATATCCTGAGTCGGAAGGGACCCATAAAGATTATCGAGTCCATCTCCTGGTCCTGCATGTGACAGCCCCAAGAATTCCACCATGTACCTGAGAGTATTGTCCAAATACTTCTTGAGCTCTGTCAGGCTGGTGCTGTGACCCTTTCTCTGAGGAGCCTGTTCCAGTGCCCAACCACCTTCTCTGAATGACAAACCCTTTTCCTAATATACAAGCTAAATCTCCCCTTCATACCATTGATGTCTCCTTGGTTCAGTTGCCTAAAAATCTTCCTCAATCCCTCCTAAGCACCCACAAGTCACATGGTTATAGTGCAACTTTCAGACTGCCAAATGAGCTACACTATGAGGCTATATGTGGCTTGTTCTTATTTGTAAAG